TATGTCTCCTCCAACCTTCTCCTCACATCGAGGAAAGAGTTGGATTGATATTGCGGTTTGCAGTAGTAATATTTATAGTAATATACACAACTGGAGAGTTTGTACGGAAGAAAGTCTCACTGAACATTCTCTTATTTCCTTTGACTTATTAGACTCAACTAATACTAATAGTCAAGCTTATGTTCAAAGTTCTAAATATATCTTAAGACAAGCTGACTGGGTTTCTATTAAGGAATTCTTAGAGACTAATTTGAATAAATGTTATTCTGACGATAAGGATATTGCATGTATGCAAATTGACGAGAATATTGAGGTCATAAAACAAGCCTGTGACATGTACATTCCTAGAGGAACTAATTGTAGAAAATCTGTTCCATGGTGAACACAGGAATTAGAGGAATTACGTAAAAGAACTAGGAAACTAAGAAGACAATATCAGAAGTGTAGGGATGAACAACTGCGTATAAATCGCAGAAATGAATATCTAAACTGCCAAAAGCAATATAAACAAAAGATCAAAAATGAGAAAATTCGCAGTTGGCGTAACTTTTGTACAGAAACATCTAATAACCCCTGGGGATACTTAACTAAGTTATGTAATAATAAATTACGTAAAACTAAAATTATGATTTCCTCGGAAACTGATCAGAACGAACCCACTACACTTCTACAAAAATTGACTTTACAGCTTGATACATTTTGTCCAAGTGACAATCTGAACAACGATACTTTACTACAGAAACACATAAGATCTGTAATAGAAGAACCATATGATGTGGAAGAAATGCCCGCCTTTACAGATATAGAAGTAAAATATTTGAGTAGCCCAAGACATAGACAAAGATTGAAGCGCCACAGCACTGGCGAAAATTTAAATTTGCCGATTGGAATTCTTTCGGATGATTGACTTTCGGAAAATCGACGCTCTACTGTATATAATGTTAAACTGCTTCTAAATTTACTAATACGGCTAGGTATTGTCGATTACTACCAGTTGTATTGTTGACTTTGTGCCGTTTCATATTATGTTTTTTAATTTTAATATAATTTGATTTCAGATACCACAATTTATATTGGTGGACTTGATGAAAAAGTGTCAGAAGCTATATTATGGGAATTATCTGTTCAAGCTGGACCTGTCGGTAAGAATTAATTTCAATAACTAACATATATATCAATTTTTAATTAAACATACAAATCTCTTAAATAAACAAACTTATTTAAAAACATTTTTATGATATTGTAGTACAACCCATTAAACTTGTACATGTATTTATAATGTATTAAAACAATAATATATATTTTTATTATCTACTTTTCTATTACTAAATTATGAAATTAAATCATTTTAGTAAATGTTCATATGCCAAAAGACAGAGTAATAGGATAACACCAAAGATATGGTTTTGTGGAATTCATGAGAGAAGAAGATGCTGACTATGCAATGAGAATTATGAATATGATTAAACTCTATGGGAAACCTATTAGAGTAAACAAGATAAAATAAAGATTTATTTCAATGTAATTTTTAAAAGATGGAATCTAAATTTTTCACATATATTTTTCACAGTTAATGTCTTGCATATAAAATACATAATTTTCTGGTCTCTAAATTTAAGAAAAATTTTACTAAGAGTATAAAAATATGCGATATTAAATAGATAAATAAATCAATAATTTACAGTAAAATTACAACATAGCATTACATAATAAGGACTAATAAATATAAACATTTTAAACACAAGTCATCTAATATAGTTGTTACTGTGAATGACCGAAATCTGGCGAATGTCAACATTCACACAGTCGTTTCGTGTATGTCCGAAATATTTGCTAAATATCGTGATTTCTCACTTACACCGGCAAATGTCGACATTCAAGATGCGCTGATGGTGAATGTTAAATAAAAATATTTTTATTGCGTTAAGACAAAAATGCAACTTTTTAATATGTCAAAATAGGAGAAAGCTTAAGTAATAGTACATGTAAAAAACTGTTGAACCTAAAACGAACAGTACATTCTTAATCATTAAAGAAAATAATACAATAATAAACTTGCACATAAATTATATGATAAACGTTATACAATCTTATTTATTGCAACAACTTAAACTGTTATGGCATTTTGAATTGCACAAGAGTCCATTGCTTTTACAGCTGCGTTTATTCGTGGAACACTTTTTTTTGCAATGACAGCGTGTATAGCCTTGCCCTCAACTTTTCGAATTAGCTGCAGCTGCTTCTCTCAGCGATATTTCTTGAGAAGAAATCTTACATATGGAAAATTTTCTTTACAAATTACGAACTGATTACGGGTATAAAGCTGCTTGAGAATATCATTTTTGTTTGCTAATTTATAAAAGTCGAAGTCTTCTATTCTAACAACAACTGCCAACACATTTCGGGCATCTGTACGGCCACAGTCAACATCAGGGACTTGTAATCGTACGGTATCACCAATTTGAGCAGAAGGAAACGGCGAAGAATTTGGCGACAGACTGTCGCCTCTCCGT